TAACAAATGCATTTGTGCTCCGTCAGTGCATCTAACAGACAAAGAATGTGAATTCTTGCTTCAGAAGCCCGATTGGGTGCATAAATAGTGTGCTGTTTTAATAACATTCAGTTCAAAGTAGCGCTTCGCTCGTGTTGTCTTACTTTCTCTGCCCTTGTCTTGCGGCGCATTTTGTCAAAATAAGTCATGTATCAACTGGCCCATCTGTCACTAGTAGCGCTTGCCCATTGTCCCCTCGTCTGGCGTTGCCTTCGCCTGTACTGCACGCAACTAGTGACACGGAGTATAGCTCAGATGGCAGAGCGTACCGCTTCTCTTGTAGATTCTTGTTTTGTGGATCGAAATTCAATCCTTGAAAAGGATTGAATCCCGATCCAGGCGAATTTTTTTTCTCGGTTACCACCAGTCACCTAGAGGGCGGGAGTGGCGTTCCATTTCAGAAGGAAGACAAGTTATTCGTTGTATGGAGGTATCTACACTGCGCGAACGTATTTGCGTGAACACGGCTTCGGCACGTTTATGAATTTTACTCAAACGGAGTTTTGGGAGGCATCACGTTTAAGAACTTAAAGGAGCGATGCAACAAGTTTGTACTTTGCGCAAATACCGCTTAAAACGGATCCCCGACGTTAATGACCTATTAAACCCGCGTTCTATTTTCACGCCACGCAGTAGAAATCCCAGAAAAAAAAATTAAAGAAAAACGAACAGCGTTCACACCCTCAACTCGCAGCCAGAACAAGCGGCCACGTGATCTGGAGCCGATTATATGCCGCCAATGTTGATCATAGCCACGCGCTGGGGTTGGCAAAGCCCAGGACACACGCTGAGTTCCAGACATTGTTATGGCTCGCCTATCGTCGTCGTTGCAGGGATTGGACACGGGCCACTACCCGAATGCTTCTCGAGCTTGTAATTATCACGAGCCCAAATCGAGTGCCCACGCAATGCTCGGGTCCAATCTATGAACCGCATTCAGTTATCGTCATTGGGGTGTACTACGATTCCCACGTTACGTCGTCAAATTTTGCAAAGGAGAGATTGAATGAAAATGATCGATTTTGTCCTTAAAATTACACCGCAACAAGGGAGTTTCTTGGCCATTGGCGTTGCTTGTGAGTATTTCTGAGTCCCAGGTGTTCCAGTAAGCTTGTCTAAAGGAAAAAAAACATTCCAACTGAATATCGCTGCACCGCTCCTTTGAGTGGCTGCACCGAAGGAGGGCATTTCGCCACAGGGGGTAGTAGCACCTGTACGATCTAAAAAAAAAAAAAACTGAAGATAATCTGGCGATCGCCTGATAGCGCTAACGGTGTCGCGTTGTGTACACCTTATTGCGATGGGGATTCATAATGGTACATTTAATATTTAACAGCCGAGTCTGTGAGACGCCTAGAACAACATTTGATGATCCTAGCGCTTGCCTAACCGCAGACGAGACAACGGCGATTCGAGTCTTCACAACATGCTCAACAATGTGGATCGCAAGTTCATCTGGAGACAAGAGCTGTCCCGCCTCAGGGAAGCCGACAAGAGATCTACGAGCGGTGTAAGTGTACCCTTTGTTTCGGGGCTGAAGGCTGAAGCCCCACGGCGGTATTCATTGTCCGAAAACGAGGCTTGATGGCGTATATAAAATTTCCAATATACCACTTTCCGAATATGTACCGTGTGTTTTCTGGAGTGTAGACGTACATCTTCGTAGACTATACATGGTCCAAAGTTTAAATTTTACGCGCTGCGCACTATCTACAGGAGCGGACTGCACAATGATTTTTTTTTTTCACATTGATAGTCATGTTGGAAACGACAGGTTGTGTTAATTAGTATTTCTGTAGGATACAAGATCGATTGTGAGCTAATATAGCCGGTTTTTGTGAAGGTGTGGTGCGTTTGAGCATTTTATTACGTGAGACTAGGTACCATGTGCGCACTATAAACCGGACGCAAATGTTATACCAGGTAAACATGCTTAAAAGAAAAGCTAAATTCAACCAAAAGTTTCCTCTGTGGACTATGCACCAGGTGCGGATCGTCGTCGAAAAAATACGGCAATATGGTTGTCAGTGTTGCAGTCTCAGTTGAGGAGGATTAAAAAACTCGACTACCTTCTGGACTTGCAAAAACGGTTATGCGGAGAGCAAGTCGTCTGCTTCTTGCACAGGAGTTGCGGCGACGTCAGAACGACACCGAGCTCTGATTGGCTCTGATTGAAAGGATAGTAAGTAGACCTTAACGCTGGATACCTTTAGCTCTACCCATAATTTTTTTTTTTTTTTCAATCAGCCAATAAGAGCTTGGCGTTCTGACATTATTGTTTTCGTGTGCAAGAAGCAGACGAACTTGCGCTCTGTATTGGTTTTTCTGGCGCTCGATGCGCAAGACACGCGTCTCCTGTCGCATGACATTGCGTTCTTGAGCCCTGTCTCGATCTTCTGCTCGACCTTGCTTAAGTAACTGCAACGGTCTCCCCCCTACACTCGCGAACAATTTTCTGTGGTTAGGTGGTCAAAGCTATAGGCGCACGTGCGTTTGCGCACTTTGGGCGCCCATCAAACCGTGGACAAGGACTCTTCACTTCTCAAATGGAACAGAACGTTGTCCGGGTGCGTAGTATCTTGGCAAGAAGTTGCGGAGGTTTTGTTGGTATTTTGTAGTGACGGTAGACAATGGGAGATGTACGTACTGTCCCCGGAAATAAAATTACAAGGTTCTTTTCACCCTAAAAATATACAACGCATTGCCGAAGGCTCATTCTCTGCCCGAAGGTAGCGATAGAGGTGCGAGCCAGATGCCTAAGCTTCAGCACGAACCGATGTTTTATTCGGAAGTTATAAATGATTTTCTGAAAATGTCAATAAAAAAATGGCGGCCGGCGGAACTCTCAAATACAGGGTTCTCTATGACGCTAGAAACCTAAAACAAGAAAAGATGGCCTCAAATTTTAAATTTAAATTTCCACAAAGACCAGTTTTAACTTTTGAATATAATATCGGTTCGTGCTAAAAGTTCGGCATCTGGTTTGGACCTCTATCGCTACCTTTTGGCGGAGAATGAGCATTCGGCCATGCAGAGTTTATTTTTTCGTTAAAAAACACATTGTAATTTTTTTTGAACACCCTGTATTTATTAGCTGCGTTCGATTTACCTGCACCTCTTACACCGGTGCAGAAAAGTGAAGGGTGGTGTACTTCCGGTCGTTTCTCAATACAGATACCGGAAATACACTGCCATACCCTGTTCTCCACCAGTGCAGACGGTGCAGGTAAATCGAACGCAGCCAATGTTTGTAACATAGAGTTATTACAATAAACGCCAGAGGCTCAGCTGGCGCTAGTGTGCTGTTGCATTTTGAAGCAGACAGCAAGCAGTCAGAAATTGACTTCCGGTAATGCATTTCTATGGGAAAAAGCGAGTGCATTTTCCCTGTGCGCTCGATTATAAGAGCAGATATCACGAATAATATGTACGTACTAGGCACGTCGGAACATTTCTCAGTCACGCATACGAAATAATTGGTCAGTTGCAGCATTTTTATTTGAAATTCGTGGCATGAAAAACGGTGCTGAAACCGCTTCGTACGTGTATTTATGTGCACTGTCGGACACTGTTAGCGCGAACACGGCGTCGATGCTTTCCAGCATGGGGGATATACGTGCCAAACGAACGAAGGACATGTGTAAAACTAAGAGAGACGGCAAGAACTACACAGTAACACTGGATAAGTAACTCCTTGTGCATGCAGGCGATCAAAATAAATTGAAAGCTACCAGGCACGTAGCCAGGGGGGAGGCCCATGGGGCCCGGCCCCTTCTCCCCCCCCCCCCCCCCCGGAAACCTTCCATTTTGCTGAGGCCTCCTCTGCCCCCTCCCCCTCATACAGCATTTTGTCATGGGCGGGCCCCCCTCGAAACAAAATCCTGGCTACGTGCCTGAAAGCCTCGTAATATAGCCAGATTTGCAATAAATAAGCACTGCTTTATTACTTCTGCTCATGAATATGCGCGAAGATGCTTGTTCTGGGCCCAAATCATCCCTTGCACACTCCAAATCTTTGCAAATCGGGGGAGCCAGAGAGCAGGTGCCCGATAAATACCGCCGGACATAGGAAATAATAAAAAGACACACCTTTCGTAGCTCACGTGCTTTATTTGTTGCCTTCGAATTGTTTTAACCGATCGTAAAGGCGCACGACGGAGTCATTTTCATCCGCTGACAGGACGGGCATATTAGCAATATATGAGCACCACCTGTTAACTTGATTGTCCAAAAAGTCACCGTTTTTAAAGTACGTGTGGCTCGTACGCAAGTAGCGAGTTCAACAACGTTTATTGCACGCACCGTGAGCCCTTATATACAGTATGCCCTAGCGGCGCAGTTGCTGTGCCGATGACAAGGCTAACGATGAAAAGGCTGATCTGGTATCAGCTAGTGACGCTGCGCTACATCTTCCCTCTTTCAAACAAAACAAAATTAACCAAGAAGAGAAAAACAATATACAAAAAATTAAGGAATAGAAAATAGTACGCTTGCAGGATCACGCTTAAAGTTCTGGTCTTGGGTATCTGACGGGGCTCCGCCGTTGTCTTGAACTCCTCCTGAGCTCCTGGGTCGGAGGGTCTTGTGATGGTGGGGCTCCCGTTGAGGGCTCTTCCCTGACCTGGCGGCCAGTGGATTCAGCAGCCACAGTGGTGACAAGTTGCTGTTGCCGAGGCGGCAACACGCGCAGGTGCTCTCTCGTTCCGCGTAGCACACGTCCGTCACCAGTTTCGAACACAAAGGAGCGCGGAGGCCCCGCACGCCTCATGACGACTGCCGGAGACCACGTGTGTGAAATGGTGTCAAATGCAGACACTTGCTGACCATCTTGTAGTTCCGGAAGGGCCTTTGTTCTGTTGTAGAAGGCCCGCTGCTTGCTGCGGATCTCTTGTAGTCGTTTGTGAACCTCTTTGGGCGGTACGATGGCTGGTTCCAGGCAGTAGTCGGGAACCGGAAGCAGTGTGCGTGTCTGACGACCCATTAGCCTCTGTACTGGTGACTTGAGCAGGTTATCCCTTGGGCTGTTGCGCCATTCCAGGAGGGCGCTGGAGAAGTCGAAGGTGTTGTAGGAGCACCTCGTTGGCAGTTTCTTTGCCTCTTGTACGGCTCGCTCAGCCATTCCGTTGGAGCGAGGGTGGTGAGGGCTTGACGTGACGTGAATGATTCGAAACTTACTCACAAAGTCCTTGAAGTTGTAACTATTGAAGGGGGGCCCATTGTCACTGTACAACTTGGCTGGTATCCCATGAGTAGCGAAGACTTCTGCACAGGCGGATACCACTAAAGATGCCGTGGACTGTCGCAGTTCCTTGATCTCGAAAAAGAAAGAGTAGAAGTCAACAATTATCAAAAAAGTTCGATTGTTGTGGTAGAACAAGTCTAGCCCCACCAGCTGCCATGGTAGGTTGGGTAGTTCATGGCTCAGTAATGGTAATCTTGCGTTTCTGGGCTTATGCTTCATGCAGACCCCACATGACTTTGCAAGAGCTTCAATGTCGCATGACATGGTCGGCCAATACATCACTTCTCTGGCGCGCATCTTCATTTTTGCTTCACCCCCGTGTGCGGCATGCAAAAGTTTCAAAATCTCCGTCTTATTGGCTTTTGGAATTACCACTTTGTTACTCCTGAAGACCAGCCCATCTTCCACGTGCATCTCGTCTCTGTAGTTCCAGTACGTACGAAGTTCCTCCGGGACGTCTCGTTTCTCAGCTGGCCAGGATGCTGATGCATACTTTCGGAGCTGGATGAAAGCCGCGTCGTTTTCTGTCGCCTGGAGGTTGTTGTGGAGCCGTGCATCTGAAACTGATAGCGTAGAAACAATGTTGACTTGAAACTGGTCGCTTTCGTCGTTTAGCATAGTTTTGGTTGGGAACCTTGACAACGCGTCCGCTAGAAAAGGTTCCTTCCCTGGCTTGTACTGCACGGTAATGGGGTATCGCTGAAGCACTAGCCTCATTTTTTGTAGGCGGAGCGGGCAGTCACAGAGGGGTTTCCTGAATATTGCTTCCAGTGGCTTATGATCCGACTCTACAGTCACAGATGAGTGCCCTAAAATATAATCTTTAAACTTGCTGCATCCGTGTACTATAGCGAGTGCCTCTTTTTCAATATGGGCTTATTTTTGCTGAGTCTCGGTGAGGGAGCGTGATGAGTAGACGATAGGATGTCCGGTCTGAATAATCACCGCCCCGACGCCGGTTTGGCTTGCATCCACTGACAACGTGACTGGTTTGCTCAAAATACGCAAGTACCGGCGCCTTGATAAGCGACTCTCTGAGCGTTTTAAAACTGCTTTGTTGGCGCTCAGTCCAAACCCAAGCGATATCTTTTTTCAAGAGCTCGCGTAATGGTGCTGAGAGGGCAGACATATTTGGTATGAATCTTGCGACAAAGTTCGTCATGCCAAGAAATATTTGTAATTCCTTACGGTCTCTGGGCTCCGGAACAGCAAGGATGTCCTCGACTCGTTCTGGGTCTAGGCTCAGACCTTCAGTCGTCAAAATGTGACCTAGGTACCGTACTTGGTCCTGCAGAAAATGACCCTTTTTTAGGTTCAACTTGAGATCGCGTCTCTCGCAGCGTTCCAGTAAGTTTTTTAGGTTCGCGTCATGTTCTTGTATCGTGGTTCCCCAAACTAAAATGTCGTCCATGACGACTGCTACGTTCTTTAGGCCCTCTAGGACACCGTGCATTGCGCGCTGGAATACTTCTGGGGCTGTGGAAATTCCGAACAGCATGCGCAGAAACCTGTATCTGCCATAAGGGGTGCTCATGGTACAAATGTGCGAACTTGCCTCAGACAACTTTATTTGCCAAAAGCCCGATGACGCATCCAATGTCGAAAAAAACTTGGCGCCGTGCAGATGTGGAGCTACATCTTCTAGCGTCGGCATGGGATAATGTTCGCGTAATAGACGTTTGTTAAGATCAGATGGGTCTAAGCAAATTCTGACCTTATCTTTCTTTACGACGAACACCATATGACTCGACCATTCTGTTGGTTCGTTTACCTTCGTGACGACTTGATCCGCTTCCATGCGGTCCAACTCTGCCTTGACTCTATCCTGGAGAGCCACAGGTATTCGTCTTGCTGCCTTGACGCTGCCCTTGGATCCTGGTTGTAGCTTCATATCGTAGACCACACCCTTCAGCTGGCCGAGCCCTTGAAAAACTGCTTCAAAAGGTCGTGCTGCACCGTATAGCTCTGCGGTGCTCACACCTGCAACGCGAGTAATCAGTCCGAGGCGTTCTGCTACACTGCCACTCAAGGTGACTGGAACCTCTTGGCGTACAACAAAAAACCCAGCGTGACATTTGTTGTCTTGATTGCGTATATCGAGGCAAATTATATCTGGTGCCTTTTCTGCATGACCGAAGAACGTGTTTAGGGTGACGTCGCACTTTACTGTTGGCTTCGTCGTAACTTGGCTTAGTGCGGCCCTGGAGATGACACAACAATTGGCTCCGGTATCTATTTTGCAATGAACGGGAACGCCTTCTAGTGTCACCGTAGCCGTCCATAGATCCTCGCGACATACAGCACCGACAGTTAGCGCTTCCAAGAAGTATGTCTCGTCATCGCTAGCCACAACCTCGTGTACTTGCTGTACGGGCGCCCTTTTCCGCCCTGACTTGCAAACTTTAGCGAAGTGATTAAGGCTTCCGCACTTGTTGCATTTCTTTCCGGCTTCGGAGAAAACCTTAGTTCTGTGCTTCGTAAACCCACACTTTTGGCACGATGATCCGATTTCTTGAACTAAGTTGACTTCTTTTTCGCGTTCCTTTGCTCCGCTTTGTATTATATTGCATCGTTCTTCGCCCTGTTCCCAGGCTCTGCATCTTTCCACCGCTTTGGTGTAGGACGGGTTGTCGGATATGAGCTTTTGCTGAAGTTTCTTGTCCCGAACGCCCAGAATGATTCTACTTCTAAGTAGACGTTCTTCAATATCCCCAAACTCGCAGTTGTTTGCCAAAATACGAATGTCGGTCAACCATTCGTTGAAAGGTTCCCCTTCTTTCTGGTCCCTCGTACCAAACACAAACTCGTTGTAAGTTAGGTTGGTAGCCGGCTTGTAGAAGCTATCGAACTTCTCAATGATAGTCGTCACGTCTTGCCTTTCTTCTTGGCTTAAAAACGTAAATGTACCGAACGATTTCCTTGCATCTTCTTCGATTATCATTAACAAGGTCGCCGCCTGTACTTTTTTCGGTTCATGGCTGAGCAGGGTGGCCGTAAAAAACAGTTGAAACATTTCCAAGTTGTCCAGTTCCGCCACAGGTCTCCCGACGTGTCCAGGGGTTTTGGGGGCTGCAGCAGCGTTGTACAGGGCAGCACGATGGCCTGCTGCGGAGACGCCATCGTCCGGGTGGTGCGGCTGTCGCCTACTTTCCGTCGCTCGGTGGCTGCTTCATTGATCCGCGGCGCTCGGGCGATAAAGCACTTCTGACACCATGTGGCTCGTACGCAAGTAGCGAGTTAAACAACGTTTATTGCACGCACCGTGAGCCCTTATATACAGTATGCCCTAGCGGCGCAGTTGCTGTGCCGATGACAAGGCTGACGATGACAAGGCTGACCTGGTATCAGCTAGTGACGCTGCGCTACAGTACGCATAAAACAAAGACTTTATTACGGTTAGATAAGGTTAAAACAATGCCAAAGAGTACATTGAAAGGTTTCCGACGCGAACGTCTTCCATCGGGCGTCGGTCAAGGTCCCGCGGCAGCAGACGCTGAGCAAACGATCGTCCTCCTCTCCTGTCTGAGCACCCCTCCTTGCCAGAGGTATAAACATAGCTGGCCCCCCGTAGGAGTTGCGGTCTCCCCTCCCTGTCCGCGGGGTCGGAATACATTCACAAAGAAAAAGAAGGCGTGCTGCTGTATGTTATTTTAACACACCGAAACGCTAGCAAACCTTGAACACACTTTACATACCTTTCGATCGTTAGTTCGCTTAGAATCGTCGCTCGTTTTCATATACCTTCCTTGAACCAGAGGTTTGGGCCTGAAATAGAGCGAAGTTAAACATCGTTCAGTGGTAAAGAAAAATGCTGTAACTAAAGCAATTACACTTTCACAATACCAATAAAGGTACATACTATCCGTTACAACCGAAACGACAAACGGTATTTATGTTATTTTCTGGCGAAGAGACAAGATTCACGCGTGTTTTCTCATAGGAATACACGGGGAGGCTGGAAATGTAGACTGCATGCTGTCTGCTTCAATTTGCAACCGGAAGTCCCGTAGACACTAGCGCCAGCTGAGCCTCTAGCGTTTACTGTAATAACTCTATGGTTTATAGCACCTAGAGGTGGTGATGGGTTCGGTACCCGTGAAGGGATCTTTACGTTTAGTCCGCGGCCTTTGGGCTGAATAAACACCGAGCTCTGGCGAAAACAATCTGGAGAGAGCGCGCCCTATAGGTCGATCTCTTCGCGAATAGAGCATACATTCAAATATTTTGCGTAAAACCGAGAAAAAAAAAAACGTTATTAACCTAATTTTACAAAAGTTGCGCCATAGCAAAATGCTATATGCCATGAAGCCTGTTCCTCAAAATATCTATTCTAAGTGCCGTTTGTTTTTTCTTTTTTTTTTTTTTTTCTTTTTAGAACCTTAAGAGATTCGGTTCTTCGGAACCCGAATGCGACTCCATTCCACCAGTGAACCTGGTCGATTGCCACCCGGACATTGGCGTCGACCCGGAGCGATGCTGGGAGAGAGATTGCTGCTGGTCGTCGCACGAATCGGACGGTGAGCCAACGATATGAGCCTTTTCTCGACGAGGATGATGATGGCTCTTAGGTATGGGGCCTGGAACGCTTTATCGAACGATGTGTTTACCTTGCCCTTAAATGTGGAGCCTCGATTTCTGCACGATGATGTCGTAGGAGTGTCGTGGTTTCGCTTCCCGCGATCATGGCGGCGGCAGAGCAGCAGAGGTGGATGCGGCTGATGCCTGTTCTGCAGCAGGTCGCTCTGCAGTGAGACCATTCACGGACACTTGGGCACCCAAGTGTTGGGACAGGGACAACGACAGCGAGACTCGCGTTCGTTCGCACTTTTTGTCTGCGCTAGGAGCAACCGCGGGTATTGCGACGTCCTAGAGCATGACGCGCCGCTCCTAAGGGTGATGCAATTTGTTGTCACTTCTGGACGATTTTCGATGCATGGCAGGGATAAGACGACAGAGATTTGGTTGCAATTAAGTTATCATCAGAAACTACTTGAAGTAAATTACATAAGTGTTGATGGCTAAAATAGCGGTGCTTTTGTCCTTAATATTTAAAATACTTTTACTTGACTTGTTTGCTCTTGTTTCCCTGGTATTTGTACATAATTCCTGTTTCCATAAATAATTCCATAAATCCTGTTTTATGTCTAATGTCGCAACCTATCTATTGTTAAGCCTATGGTTGCAATTAAGTTGGTTTGGTTGCAATTAAGTTATCATCAGAAACTACTTGAAGTAAATTACATAAGTGTTGATGGCTAAAATAGCGGTGCTTTGTCCTTAATATTTAAAATATTTTTACTTGACTTGTTTGCTCTTGTTTCCCTGGTATTTGTACATAACTCCTCCTGTTTTTATGTCTAATGTCGCAACCTATCTATTGTTAAGCCTATGTAGGGGGTTGAGAAACTCGTCAAGCTGTATTTTATGGGACCTCCATCGTCAATATTGATGGAAAAAATAAACGAATGGTAACACACCAGTTGAGGATGCGTTCCAGGCAACTTGAGGTCGGTTCAAACTGGGGCGTTTGCTTACAATATCTTACATTATGTGAGAAGTGAGCGGGACATTCGTGTTCCGTACGTCGCGTGTAAAACTGCTCCTTGAACCGATCGCCACGCTTCATTCGGAGCACTGATGTCCCGGCTACTTGCGAAGTAAGCGGTCGTAAGTAGCCGTAACGTAACGTAGAAAAACGCCCCTGTGGGAACCTACCTCAACTATTGGGTGCACTCGACTAACCGCACATAGCTAAAAGAGATCAGCTGAAATGCTTGTGAAGTTTATAAAGCATAGTCCTGTTGCTCAGTACTATTGACTGGGAATAACCCAATTTTTTTCTTCGAATCAGTGTGAATCCTTACGCATTTCGCGTAAGCAAATCTGGAAGCCGATTAAGGGCTAGAGTGTGAATCACTGACGCGTGTTTACCTAAGCCTCGGATCCCTCTCCTTTTTTTTCCCCGCCAATCGGGCGATGTGACGTCGGTGAAAACGCGCCATTCAAAGTGGCAATGTTGGCCGTAGGCTTACTGCACAAGGTTTTCGAAATACGCGCTTCCTATATTTCAGGGGCCTGATTCAGGTGCCCGTAGTTTAGGTGCCCGATCCCGTAGTTCAGGTACCCGTAGTTCAGGCGCCAGAAACGACGTCGCTGCGATCGCTTCTAGCCTCCCCGACGCTTCACATTCTGTCTAGACCGCTGCCTTTGCCACAAACGGCCGATTTTCTTTATTTTCCCATTTCGCACCCGCAGTGTCTCCGGGCTGCTACAGGCCGCCGAGTCACAAGCGGTACAGGGTGCTCAAGGAAAGCCACGGGGACAACGGCTCCAGCGTGTCTCTGCTGCTCACGCTGGCACCCGAAATCCCCGACGAGTCGCTCTTCGTGTCCGTGGAACTTGTCAAGTACAGCGACGACACCGTGCGGATACGGGTAAGGGAAGGAGACGATGGCACAGGTCACATCACTCCTGTGCAAGATAAGGGGATACCACCTATAATCAAAGAGCTGTGCATGACACTGTCATTATTGTGGATCCCCGACACGCCCCAAGCGACAGACACTCCAAAGCTAAGTGGTATTGGATGAGGACGTCGATACGGGGAAAGAGAGGGCTCCGACACCGGCTAGGGAGGAACGATACGGCTATTACAAAACTTGACCTTA